GGCCTTAGGAAATTAGTTGGGGCCAAACACTGCAATCTTGCAACATAAAATGTCATCAAGGCTGAGATTGAGAAACCTACCCAGAGCTCCCTCCTACTCCATTGCCCACAATGTTCGGCCAATCCTCCTTCCTATTCATGCATAGAGGTAATTGTAAGCATTCTATATGCAAAACTTTAATGGGACCCTGTAGCAAGAGAGTGATTTTTATCTCATCTGGTAGAAGTTCAGAATGTTTTTCTTGACCAACCATTTTTCTTAGAAGAAGTGTTGGAACCAAACTGCAGTGCAGGAGCATCAAGGAAGGGACTGAGACATTACGCCTCCCTTCATATGTTCAGCCACTCCCCTTTTCTCTTCATTTTTTTTTTTTTAGTATTAATTTTATTATGTTTTCAAAAAATGTTAAAGTACAGAACAATCAAGAAAAAGGAAGAAAAGAGAAAAAAACATAGAAAAGAAAGAGTAGTCCCCTTTCTCTTCATGTAGAAGTGCAATTCTGGGCAATCTTTGTGTAGAGCTAAGGAGATTATGGGCTTCGCTTGGACGAATATCTTCCATAAAGTGACTGATGTGCCTGCAGGAAAGGGAGATCTAGGAGATGACTTGTGAACCAGAGTGGTATTTTGGGGCTGAAAACATGTCATTTCCAGAGCTGGCAGGCACAAGATTACTGAAACACTCTTGAGTGGATTGCCAAGACCCTAGGAGAATGGAGATGGAGGAGATCATGGAATGGGACATACCGATTCCGGGCAGATGGGCCTAAGGGCCTCTTCTGAGGATGGCAACATCCTGCTAGCCTCAGACATTTCCAGCCAAGCATAATTAATACCCTTCTTTAACTGTGATACACAGGAGAGCTTTCAAACGTGCTCCCCACACAAGTGAATTTAATAGGCATTCTGACTTTAGAAAAGCCTTACCTTCCAATATAATGTTATGAATAAAGGAGAAAAACATGACAAAAAGGGTTTTTTCCCCCTTGTGTTGTCTGATCATTTCCCAAGGACCGAAAGCCTCGTGAGAAAGAGGATCAAAGCAGCCCTACCCTAACAAAAGTACAAATAAACACGGCACTAAAGGACACAGAGTCTGGTTTGTCATCCCATATCTCTAAACACCATCTTCCTTCTAATAAATCTGCCAACGAGGCTCTGTGAGAACCCAGCTTGTTTGAGAGTGAGGCGCTGCTACGGGACATGGGAGACCCCCTTTCCCAAGGGCTCAGGGCCTTTGGCCCCACTTTTCTAAGGACAGGCCAGAAACACGCAGGGACAAAATGGGAAAACTCTTCCCTTCACTAACTCTCACCACTTCTAAGCATCCAAACAGCTCCTGGGTGCAAAGGCAAAGTGCAAACTCCCACGATTACCCCCTTATTACCAAAGCTTTTTTGCAAGAGCCTCATCGTTAGAGCCTGCTTAAGGATCCTAAGTACCCTCCTTCAGCATAACTCTGAATGGTTGTGAATGCTCTTTAACCAAGGACTATCTGTAATAGATTTGCTGTTTATTCACCTGTACTTGATTCTTCTATCTCTGCCATCTATCTTTTCTATTATTTCAAAATATAAAACAATGAAATTGGGAGAGAGGAGAGAAAAAAGTATTGACTGACTTTAGATTCAGTTTCAGCTGAATCTCTAGACAGTCAATTCTTTTTTCTCTCCTAAGCTACTCATTCAGGCCAATATATTACACCCTTCTTTAGCCTTCTAAAGTACCAAATTTCTCCAATAGTTTTTGGAACGTGAGGGTTTCATTTGGAAACTTTGAAGAGAACTGAATTCTCTTTAAAGAGCAAATGAATCTTTCAGAATTTCAGTTCCATCAGGAATTAGGACTCTTCTACATCAAATGGCAGATATTTTCACATCTCCATAAGATTCTAAATGTTTTTCTCTAAATCCTGTGGCAAGCAAAAATTGTGTCCCATGCAGAAAAGTTAACAGACAGAGCCATCCCTTTTCAGTTCTTTCTGCAGGAGCAAAACCTTTGGCAGATTCACTCCATGGAAGTTTAATCTGGGAGCAAATAAGGAGCCTTACCTGATCCAAGTCCTTCAAAAGGTTCCCCATCCTGACCTGAAGCAGATTCCCAATCAGAGGCAGGCGCCAAGGCCCCGGAGGGAAACCTTTGGGACGTCTGCTCTTCCAGAAACAGAGGAATAGCAGGGAAAGAACAACCAGCCAGCTGAAAACATCCATGTTGAAAGCAGGGAAGCCTCGCTCTCTCTTTCTCTGCTGCTGTGTCTCTGGCACATCAGCCAATGATTAAATCTTTAAGGTCTCAATGAAAGGAAAACTTCGAACAGAAGCCAGATGGCACAAGCTGCCATTTGGCAAACAGGAAATTAACATCAGGATCCTCGGGAAAAAAATGCTTTCAAAATATACTACTACCTACTTGTCTCAAACACCAGAAAACATTTCACCCAAGACTGCCTCACATTCACCAAGTGAAAGGCAACCCTGGTTATTCAAATTTGCCATACCTGGTATCAAATGCAGTTAAGTATTCATGTCCCTCCT